ACTCCCGGATGCAAACAATATGCGGTGATGTTTGAGTGTCGGAGCCTTTTGGCCAATTCTCGGGTGAACAGTATGTTTGCCAGTTTGCTCTGAGCGTACGCGAAAAGGTTATCGTATGCCCCGTCTCGTAGGTTTATATTATCAAGGTGGATTTGGCCAAACTTGTACATATCCGCCGACACATTCACTATACGACCCGCCGGTGCTTTCTTTAGCAATGGTATCAAATGTAGCGTAAATAGGAAATGACCTGAAAATTTTACAATATATTTAGTTTTAATATATTATCAAACAATATTGTTAAATATTAATATAGCAGTAATATTTAAGCTATATAATTTATTTAGTATGAGTAATTCACATTTAAACTAATTATCTAGTATACTGTACCTAGGTGATTAGTTCCCATTTGCATTTCAAACCCATCCTCCGTCTTCCACTCCGGACACATCGCAACGCCGGCGTTATTGATAAGTATATCGACTTTTGTCTCCAAACCCGACAACTCTTCCACACATTTGCGGACAGATTTTTAGCTCATTTTAAATTAATGCACATGTGGCATTTTACAAATGTTATGTTTTATGAATTTGGCACTAATTTTTTTGGTTGGCGACGACGTGTGACCAGCGAAAGTAGTTTTATGTTTGCCTTTGGAGTCAGTGCTAGAATGTCATTGACGGCTGTCTCGCCTTTCTTAGTATCCCGACACAAGATATACACCTAATTATTAAATAAGATTAAATTAATGAACACAAACAAAATTAAATATGAATTAATTATTTCTACATCATTTATTTAGTGAATTGAAATTGCAATATTTTAGAAATAAAGTTACAATATGCTTATCATGAGCTATGATAGAAAAAGAATTGTAATAATCAATTAATAATTCAATTTACAATACCTTTGCATCTCTGAGGGCAAGTTGATGGGCAGTCTCTTTACCAATACCGGTATTACCGCCGGTCACCACAACTACCTGTCCGTTAAGTTTCTTATCGCTGGTCACACGTCGTCGCCAACCAAAAAAATTAGTGCCAAATTCATAAAACATAACATTTGTAAAATGCCACATGTGCATTAATTTAAAATGAGCTAATTTGCCCATTATTTTATAAATTATTTATTAAAAACTGTACTTTATAATATCACAATAATACACTTGATTATCTGTATAACTTCTCAAAAATGACAACTTTTTAAAAATATATTTAAAATTTAGATATGATTTTTGAATTTTTAAGGTAATAATGTTTTAATATTTATATGAATACACAGAATATCCAGTCTGTAAAAAGTCAATGCAATTTTGCTATGAATATTAGTGTACGTTTGCTTTATATACTATACTTTACTATTAGCTATAATAACATTAGCACTGTTGCACTTAAAGTGAAGGTCTCATATATTTTATACCGTTATAAATAAAATTTCTATAACATTAGTATTCATACACTTAAAATTATTAATGAGATTGTCATTGAATTGTATATTAAACAATATATTTATTATATCCATCAAACAAATGTGATTATAATTATTAAGATTTATAAATATAATATTATTGCTAATGTCTCAACTTCTGTATTTAAACTTAATTTCATTTTTTCAATAATTCAATTAAATAGTTAAGTTAAATTTACAATACACGAATTGGACAATTTTTAATTTAATTGAACATTATTATAATAAAAAGTATTTAATAAAAAAGTTTAATTATTTAATTTAATGTATTATGAAAGGGAATCATCATGATCAACTAATCCGATGCTTAAATCCCATAATTTGCGGGCTGTCTCGTCATCCTGTGTTCGTTTAGCCATTTTCTCCACTCGTTTACAATTACTATAAAATAATTACCATAATTAACATATCGAGAGAGAGAGAGAGAGAGAGAGAGAGAGAGCGAGTGAGTGAGTGAGAAAGAGAGAGAGAGTGAGAGAGAGAGANACACATTTGCGGACAGATTTGAGTGAGAAAGAGAGAGAGAGTGAGAGAGAGAGAGAGAGTGAGTGAGAGAGAGCTAAACATAATATAACTTACTCGTAGTAAAACCCGGATTCATTGTCCAGTGTCTCTTCGAGAGCGCAATACAGTGTAGTCTGTGCTCCCATTTCTGGTGCCATAAACATCATATTCATCATCGTTTCGCCCATATTTGAGTGGCGCTGGAGATCCGTCTTAATCGCTCCGGGATTCAGCGCATAACACGTAACACTACTTTCGGGTCCCAAACGTCTGGCCAACTCTCTTGTAGACAACACAACAGCCAGTTTGCTCTGGCCGTAGGCCAGTGTTGGGTCGTACACACCGTTACGAAGATTGATGTTATCAAAATTGATCCTGCCTATCGCGTGCATACTGGACGATACGTTCACTATACGGGCTAACTGTGCTCTCTTCATTTGAGGTAACAGGAGTTGTGTCAACAGAAATGGACCTAGATGGTTTTAAAAATTGATGTAACATGGTAAATTATAAATTGCTTGTTTATCATGTATAATATTTTATGTCAATTAATATTTATACCCAAATAATTTGTCCCGAACTGCATCTCAAACCCATCGGTAGTTTGCCATTCAGGACACGCCATAACACCGGCGTTATTGATAAGTATGTCGACCACAGATTCCCTGGCCTTCAGTTCATCGGCGAACTGATGAATGGATTTGAATGAAGACAAGTCGAGCTTAAGTGCAGTGATGTCTGCACTCGGATTCACTCCTTTCATGTCATCGATGGCCGACTCAGCCTTTTCTAGACTCCGACACCCGATGTATATCTGGTTTATAGTAAGCAAAACATACAGTAAATTAAATTAAATTAATCATTTCATAATTACTAATATTATTTACTATAATAAGTAATTAATAAAATATTTATTGTTATAAATTAATTTATTTTAATATTATTATTCACACAAACCTTAGCCCCGCGTAACGATAGCTGAAGTGCAGTCTCTTTGCCGATCCCAGTGTTAGCACCGGTAATGACCACAACCTTACCGTCCAGTCGGCGCTCACTCTTACACTTACGCCTCATATTTAGGGTATTAGTGCCGAACTCATGGACCATCATTCCCACCAGTGCTTTACCATTGTGGATTTTTTCACACATTTTTAACTTAATCAAAAGCTATAATTATGGTTGTTTGTTATAGTAGTTTAATTTAATTAACGCTTAAATATACAACTTTATAACAAGATTTATAACTTATAATAATAAATTACAAACAAATAGTATTGAATGAATAGTATTACAAGTACAATATTCTAGTATTTATACCCACTAAATAATATGCATGTATTTAGTGCAGTCGTACACAGTTTGCACCGACATTGAAACATTGGGTGCGAGAGCTCCTGTAGTTTCCTCAATGATAATCAATAATGGTTTACAATTAAAGACCGGTTGCACTCAAAACCAATTATATTAATATTATTAATAATAAAATTAAAACCTTTAAACTAACAAACTAGTAAAATATTTTATTATTAATAGTTAATGATAATTAATTTATATATCACAAATATACAGCACTTAATCATAAATTAAACATTACAATAAATTTTCCCGATTTGCAAGTAAATTTTACAATTAAATTATAAATAATTAATAAACTTTTCAAAATTTTATTGTTGGCATTAACTTTCAAATACATTAAAAGATTATGTTTTTAAAGTAACTTTATAGAATATGAACTATGTCAATAGTTTTCAAAATATGGTTATCATGTATACTTTAAGATGTTTCATATAAAAATAGTTGAATATATTTAAAACAAATATAACACAATGTGGAAAATAAGGTCAGAAAATTAACCGACATGCCAAACGCCCGGTGCATTGGGTAGCCTAACCAAAATGTAACTCGACCAATAATAAACAAACCAGTTAGTACTGGAATTACATTTTCAATAGAATCGGGCTCTAAATACGTTACTACAATCAGTTGCGAGACAAACGACATAATGAATTGTTCCAGGGTGTTTAGAAAATTTGCAAAACTTTAATCCCTTTATATCCATATCTATGAGTTATGTGTGTATAGAGAGTGTATAGAGAGAGTGATAAAGAGAGGTTAGGGGAGACAAAGAGAGTGATAGAGAGAGTTTAATGCCATCGATATATTAGGCATTTGTTTGAACGCATGTTATGTTCAAACTCTGTATCTCTTCGTGAGTTTCAATGGTCTTGAGTCCAGTACCTGATGGCAAGTCTGGCGATGGCTTGCATTCAGATAACTGTTCAAATAAGTCGAGTCCGCGTCGAGTCATGTCGTGTCGACACAACACCTAATCATACCATTGATTGTGTGGGCACTCAAAGCATATATCATTCAATTGCTATTCATTTAGTGATTTTAATCATAATTATATTTTAATTAACGTTTTGGTGTTTATGGGGAGAGAGAGAGAGAGAGGGAGAGAGAGAGAGAGAGAGAGAGAGAGTTCAATTGAACAATTATTAAATATATCCGGGCAATTGATCTAGTTATAAACTAAAAAAACATCTTGATTAAATAAAATGTCTTTAACAATAAAGTTTTATTATAAGTTTACAAAATATCTTACAATAATATTTACTTTTAAAAAATATAAATAACATATTAAAAACATACTCCAGTATATTTGTTTTAAGTAAAATAATTATTTTAAATTACAAAGATACACTATAATAAAATCAGGTAGATTAGTAGTTGTTTTATGATGTTTATTCAAATTTCAATTCAGTGTAATCAACATAAATCATGAATCCTGAGATGATCATCGAGCTCAACCAAATCGCAACTCAATTCCCACAGACTTTTGGCAGTCGAGTCGTCATTTGCTTCCGGTGTCATGTGATCCACGCGAACACAATTGCTATGAAACAAAAATTCACAAATTTAATAAATAATTTACTATCATTTTATGTTTTTAAATTATTAATAAAAATAATTACTTGTAATAAAATCCCGATTCATTTGCCAATTTATCTTCGAGAGCGCAGTAGAGTGTTGTCTGAGAGCCCATCAATGGTGTCATAAAAAATTTGTTATAAAACCATCCCCTATTGGTCTGACCCTTAGTCTCGTGGAGCTCAGGGTTGTCCACGTGTCGGCTCAGGTTAGTGTTTATGACTCCCGGATGCAAACAATATGCGGTGATGTTTGAGTGGCGGAGCCTTTTGGCCAATTCACGGGTGAACAGTATGTTTGCCAGTTTGCTCTGAGCGTAGGCATACAAGTTATCGTATGCGCCGTTTCGTAGGTTTATATTATCAAGGTGGATTCTGCCAAACTTATACATCTCCGCCGACACATTCACTATACGACCCGCCGGTGCTTTCTTTAGCAATGGTATCAAATGTAGCGTAAATAGAAAATGACCTGAAAATTTTTACAGTAAAGTTATATTAGCTTTAATATATTATCTTATAATAATTATATTAATTATTAACTTAATATTAATATTTAAATTTTGTAATTTATTCGTTATGAATCTATTAGGTAATTCTTATTAAAACTAATTATTTAGTATACTGTACCTAGGTGATTAGTTCCAATTTGCATTTCAAACCCATCCTCCGTCTGCCACTCCGGACACATCGCAACGCCGGCGTTATTGATAAGTATATCGACTTTTGTCTCCAAACCCGACAACTCTTCCACACATTTGCGGACAGATTTGAGTGAAGACAAGTCCAGCGAAAGTAGTTTTATGTTTGCCTTTGGATTCAATGATAGGATATCATTGACGGCTGTCTCGCCTTTCTTAGTGTCCCGACACAAGATATACACCTATTTGTTAGAAATAAAGTTTGGTTACAATATGCTTATCAAGTGCTATGATATAAAAATATAACTGTAATAATCTATTAATAATTAAATTTACAATACCTTTGCATCTCTGAGGGCGAGTTGATGGGCAGTCTCTTTACCAATACCGGTGTTACCGCCGGTCACTACAACTACCTGTCCATTAAGTTTCTTATCGCTAGTCACCCGTCGTCGCCACCCGAAAAAATTAGTAGGAAATTCATAAAACATAACCGTTGTAAAATGCCACATGTGCATTAATTTAAAATGCGCTAATTTGCCCATTATTTTATTATTTATTAAAAACTGTACTTTATAAAAATATGACAACTTTTGCAAAATAAATATTTAAAATTTAGATCTAATATTTGAATTTTTAAGCTTAAAATGTTTTAATATTTATATGAATACACAGAATATCCAGTCTGTTAAAAGTCAATGCAATTTTGCTATGAATATTAGTGTACGTTTGCTTTATATACAATACTATTAGCTATAATAACATTAGCACTGTTGCACTTAAAGTGAAGGTCTCATACATTTTATACCGTTATAAATAGAATTTCTATAACACTAGTATTCATACACTTAAAAATTATTAATGAGACTGTCATTGAATTGTATATTATATTAAACAATATATTTATTATATTAGGAATTACAGGGAAAGGTAAGAATTGTTTAATTTCACGACATATCCATCAAACAAATGTGATTATAATTATTAAGATTCATAAATATAATATTATTGCTAATGTCTCAATTTCTGTATTAAAATTTAATTTCATTTGGTTAATAATTAAATTAAATCGTTAAGTTAAATTCACAATACACGAATTGGACAATTTTTAATTTAATTGAAGATTATTATAATAAAAATATTTAATTAAAAAGTTTAATTATTCAATTTAATGCCTTATAAAAGTGAATCATCAAGATTAACTAATCCCATGCTTATATCCCATAATTTGCAGGCTGTCTCGTCATCCTGTGTTCGTTTAGCCATTTTCTCCACTCGTTTACAATTACTATACAATAATTAACATTATTAACATCGAGAGAGAGAGAGAGAGAGAGAGAGAGAGAGAGAGAGAAAGAGAGAGAGAAAATAACTTACTCGTAATAAAACCCGGATTCATTATCCAGTGTCTCTTCGAGGGCGCAATACAGTGTAGTCTGTGCTCCCAATTCGGGTGTCATAAACATCATATTCATCATCGTTTCGCCCATATTTGAGTGGCGCTGGAGATCCGTCTTAATCGCTCCGGGATTAAGCACATAACACGTGACACTACTCTCGGGTCCCAAACGTCTGGCCAACTCTCTGGTAGACAACACAACAGCCAGTTTGCTCTGGCCGTAGGCCAGTGTTGGGTCGTACACACCGTTACGCAGATTGATGTTATCAAAATTAATCCTGCCTATCGCGTGCATACTGGACGATACGTTCACTATACGGGCTAACTGTGCTCTCTTCAGTTGGGGTAACAGGAGTTTTGTCAACAAAAATGGACCTAGATAGTTTAAATTGAGGTAAGATGTTAAATTATAAATTGTCTGTTATATAATGTATAAAATTTTAATTCAATTATTATTTATACCCAAATAATTTGTCCCGAACTGCATCTCAAACCCGTCGGTGGTTTGCCATTCAGGACACGCCATAACACCGGCGTTATTGATAAGTATGTCGACCGCAGACTCCCTGGCCTTCAGCTCATCGGCGAACTGACGAACGGATTTGAATGAAGACAAGTCGAGCTTAAGTGCAGTGATGTCTGCACTCGGATTCACTCCTTTCATGTCATCGATGGCCGACTCAGCCTTTTCTAGACTCCGACACCCGATGTATATCTGGTTTATAGTAAGCAAAACATACAATAAATTTAATTAAATTAATTGTTTTATAGTTATTAATGTTATTTACTATAATAAGTAATTAATAAATTATAAATTAATTTATTTCAATATTATTATTCACACAAACCTTAGCCCCGCGTAACGAAAGCTGAAGTGCAGTTTCTTTGCCGATTCCAGTGTTGGCTCCGGTAATGACCACAACCTTACCGTCCAGTCGTCGCTCACTTTTACACTTACGCCTCATATTTAGGGTATTAGTGCCGAACTCATGGACCATCATTCCCAACAGTGCTTTACCATTGTGGACTTTTTCACACATTTTTAATTTAATTAAAAGCTATAATTATGGTTATTTTTTACAATATTTTAATATAATTAAAGCTTAAATATACAACTTTATAACAGAATTTAAAACTTATAATAAATAAATTACAAACAAATAGTGTTAAACGAATAGTATTACTGGTACAATATCCTAACGCTTGCATTGATAATTTGGTGAATTATTTGGGACGTAATTTGTTAATCAAATTTAGCCGAAATTTTTTAATTGTTGGTTTGATTTGAAACAGTGTTTATTGACCTACAAATCAGTGCCATTCATTTGTCTGCACCTCTTTTGCTTCGGGAGTAATCCTCTCCCGAAGAGGTCGACCT